AAAAGCAACCCCTGCGCTTTTTGGAAGGCAGGGACTGGCCAGCAGGTCCCTGGTTGGGGGATCCAGAGTAACGATTCCTGCTGCTCCAAGGGATGCTGCCCTCGTGCTGGAAGCCAGGCAGTCACACCTGTACACCTCTGCCTGCCTCAATTCCAGGTGCATTAACAGGGCACGGATTTGCAGGGCTGAGGGAACAAATGGACAAGAAGCACGGAGTGAACGTGGAAGCCACCTTGGGAAAATCACTTCACCTCCCTTTACACCACCCCCAGGACCAGGCTGGATTGGATCACTGTGACCCTCCAAATCCAATACCAGCTGCTCCAGGAAAACACTCCCCTGGATTCTTTAGGGAAAGGTCAGTGTGGGCCCTGCAGCTGGGAGGGGGTTGTGTCCCTGGCAGCACATCTGGGGACTACCCAGAGAAACTCCTGCTCCTCACGCACGGATCTCCCTGGCAGGGTGGGAGCCACATGTGTGCTCCCACAGGAACACTCAGCGCCACGTCCCACGTTTGCCAGGGAACATTTGGCTGGGTGACAGGGGAAACAGGACTTTATCATCTGCCATCACTGAGTAAGCCACCTGTGGCAGAGCCAGGTGGGAGAGGTGCAGGGGATATTGTTTTCTGCTGAAATATTTGTGGCCGGGCCATTCCATACTTGCTGTTTTATGAAGACATGGAGTCTGCTCTGGGAAAGAGGCCAGGGGCTCCCGTGAATCACGGCCCTGCAAACAAAAAATCAGCTGAAATGAAAAGCTGGCCTAAAGCAAAGAACCAAATCTCCTCAGGCTGCAGTCTCAGATCAGGGGGATCCTGTTCTGTACTCCAAACCACTTCCCTACTGGATCATCAGCTATTTGACAGCTGCCAAAAAAAAAATGAACTTTGTTGCTTCTGAAAGACAGCAGTGGTGTGTTTTTATATAGTAAAGGGAAATAAAATAACAGCAGTTCTTTTTCTCTGCATTAGATGATCCAAAGGCACGGGATGCCAGCAAGTCCATGAGGGAGCCAACTCCAGTTTTCAAAAATGACCAAGGCATCTCAAAGTATCTCCACAAGGTTTAGCTCCTCTCCTGAGCCTCCATTTCAAGGGCTCAAACCTGTTTCCAGCTCATCCATCACGTTAAATTGTCACTCACTGATGACTGCACAGACATTCCCGTGTGCGGCTCGGCTGCCAGGGGAGTTAATGCCAGATGGAGCCATCAGGGAATGCTCCCCGAGGATAACACCAAAGCCATGCTGCCCTGTCAATAAACACATTTTGGGTTGTTACAGCAAACCCAGCACCCCCAAGGGTCCTCCCAGCCTTCAGGCCCTCACCTTCCTCATGCCCTCCGTGGACTCGCTCCGTTCCTTCCGAACCCGATCCCTGGCCCTGCTGCAGCTGTGAACCCACGTTCACATCCAGGATGAGGCCCAGGAGCAGGGACACGGACCCCAGTTGCTTCTCCACGTGCTATAAATAGCAAGAGGGAAAACAGATGAAAGGCCCTGAGCCCCAGCACTGCCCAGGCGCTCCGGCTGCAGCCGGACTTCTCCGTGCGGGATTTGCATCAGCCCAGACCCGCTGGGGAAGCATTCCCTTTATTTTCTTAATAAAAGGCTGGCTTTTAGGCCACAGGAGATGATAAAACCTCTAGCACAAGAAAAATCCAACCAGCACGGGTTCCTGGTGTCCCGTTCTGTCTGTCACTGAAGCGGATTCCGAAGCGTGTCCGGATCACGCTGAGAAAATAAATCTGGCTCCGCGTCAGAGTTCAAAGACGCCTTCACAGAGCCATCAGGGGAAAAAAAACACACGGAAGGGACAAATTAACAGCATTTCCCCCCCCCGCCCCAGGGCCTGAACAACATGTCCCGAGAGTTTTCCAAGCTGCTTTGCCACTGGATAAACTCCGGCAGCTCCCTGGGGCTGGCAGAGTGCGATCCACGTATCCTAACGATCCACGTATCCTAACGGAGCTGCTAAAATCCCTTTGCTGCCCTGTGGGTCCCCAGAGGAGTGTCCTGCACTTAGTTTTTCCGCAGGAGCCGGCTGTTGGGAAGGAGGGCACTGCCACAGACCACTTCTGCCCCGCTCCATCAGGCTCCACAAATAAACTTCCTCGCCCCAGGAAGTTTCCCAGCACGGGAATGGCTTTGCTTGGGAAGCTGGTTTTAGGACATGGAGCAACGTGCCCAGGGAAGGGAGAGGAACCCAGTCATGGAGGTGATTTAAACCTCCAGAAATGCTGCAAAAAGTGATCCCGTGGGATGACCAGGAGGGGCTGTTTCCCCTTCAGTCACGAGGATGATTCCACTGTCAGGATGTGAAACCCCAAGTCCAAGCCCCTCTGAAGCACGGGGGGGGGTGTGTTGGAACAGGATCAGCCTTTGAAATGGTGGAAACCTCGCTCTGAAGCAGCTGGACCTGAGGAGGAGGGAAAAACCTGCAGCCACAAAGGAATTCAGGTGCCACAGGCCACTCCTGAAAGGGCAGAGGAAGTCAGGGCTGGGCTCAGCACACAGGAAATTAGGGATTCAAACACCTCCCTTGGCTCCTCCGGAGAGGGGAGGGCAGGAGGGACTCTGGGAGGACACACACCTGGGATCCAGGGAGCAGCAGGACCAGGGATCCACCCAACTGCACCCGGATATTCCTGCCCAAAACGGGGGGATGGCAGAGCAGAGCCGGCAGCGCAGCAATGGCACCTTCCTGAGTGATTTCCGACAGCTATTCCTGAGCAAACCTTGCAGCTGGCAAGAAAACAACGCTTCCTCAGTATGGGAAATGTCAGAGCTGCACAGCCAGTTGTCCTGCTGCCGCGGGAGCGCTGCCGGAATTCTTGGAAAGCACGAGAGGAGCAGCACAGGCAGCGGCTTTGTGGCCAGCGGGCAGGGATCAGCGCTGGAATTCGCTCAGATTCCCAGCAGATGCCCTCTGCTCCGGCTCTCCAGCCTCCTTCCAGGGGGGACAGACGCCACAGGGGTGGCCAGAGCCCAGGCCTGGTTCTTGTCTGACCCACGTGGATCGAACTCTGGGCAAAGGATCTCAAATTCCACCCGGATCCGACGTGATGTTCTGTCCTAACAGATAAATTCCCACCATGAATCAGTACAAACCCACTTTGGTGAGAAATTCCTCTCCTTTACTTATGTAAGTGCTATTTAGCACCAGGAAGAGGGTCACAAGGATCATTCCCCAACACATGAAGCCACATGGAGACCTGTGACTTCTCCATGGAAAACCAGGGATCTCTGCTTCCACCTGGAATTGGTAAAAAATGCCTTTTTTTTTTTTTTTAAATTCCCCTGAAACAAATATTAAGATAATCCCCTTTTCCCTCAGCCTTAATGAATAATTCCAATAAAAAATGAACACTTTGCTCTGATCTCGTATTAAATTTTCAAACAAAAACCTTTCTGATAGGGGTTGATTTTCTCTTCCCGCATTTTTCTCCCCCAAAACGCTGTGAGACCACCCTGATTTTGTACAGTACCTCACTTGGATCAGAATCACATTCCCAAGGGCTTTTTTGGGGCCCAGTTTTACAGAACTTAAGCCACTTGCTTTTCTTTCGACTCCACACGGGCCTCTTCCCTCCATGTTTCCAAGCCCTGAATCTCTTTGTTATTTCCAAGCGTTCCTTCCTATCTGGGAAGGACAGAACATTCCTGCTACATCCCCTTAAAGCCAAGACATGCTGTTTCTTAGCCCCAGCACCTAAACACAGAGGGACTGAGGGTTTCCAGTCCAATTCCTTCAGCTGCTTCCGCTGTGGATCAGGAACAGCCTGTATCCGGAGGAAGGCACCTCGTGCCAGCCCACAACACCCTCTGCCTGCTGCTGGGCTCTGTGGGCCCAGTGTGGAACTGGAATCACCTGTGGGAGAAGATTTTTTGAGGGGTCTCCCTGCACCTTCAGTTTTAAGAGCTTGGGAACAAGGATGTGATGATCCAAGCCGTCCATCAGCTGTTTAAAACTGGGCGCCCAACCTCAGCAGCAGGGAAGGAGCAGCATTCCCAAGGGCTATCCATGCCAGAGGATCCCAGAGAGGAAGGGGTGAGTCAGCCTCTGCAGATCCAGCTCAACCCAGGCCCCATGTGGATCCTTCTCCAGCTGCAGTCAGGCAGGTGAAAAGCAAGCTGGCACCTCAAGTGATTTCCTGAAGGAATGGTGAGATTGGACACCCAGGACAAGCCCCAGATGGATCAAAACCTCCACTTTGTTCAGCACAGGGTTCTGGCAACCTCGGTCCCAGGAGGAGCCACCGTGGAGGGGCACAAGGACACCAAACACGGATTTCCTCCCAGCCTGAAGCAAGATGTTCCCCGGGGAAGTGACCAGGTGAGCAGGGCCTGTTATCCCTTCCCGTGGTGACTGCAGGGAATCCCACAGCTACCCCCCAAGAGCCTGCTGAGAAACTCCATGAGAATCCTTCTGGTTGATACCCAGCCCAGAAACACCCACAGACCTTGGCTGGATACACCTGGATACACCTGGCCTTGCATGTGCTGCTCAGAAAGGGACAGTGCTCAACATGCAGGCAAGGAAAACACCAGGATCTAGACACGGAATACACTCAGCAGGTCAAAACCCAACTCTGAGATAGGCACAAACCCCTCCTGAGCAACTGGTGTCTTATTTTAAGCGTTACACACGCAGACAGTGCAGTGCTGCTCACCTTCAGGAGGGCAATTTTCCAGCTCCATTTCCCACTGCTAATCCTTAAGAAGGACTTTCACCACTTGCCACGATCTGGGAGTAGATTTGGGGCCCTGCAGTCACCTTGTTTCACAGCTCTTTTTCAGTCCCGTGGGCTGTGGGCATTCCCTGAAGCCACACAATGCCGGGAATTACATGACCAGAGCTTTCTGAGAGCCTGAATTCCTAAAGCTCCCAGAGAGGTGTGGAGGCAAAAGGATGCACCAGGCACGAAGAGGTTGGGCAGCCAGCCATGGATCCCAGGTGTTTAAAACTTCCTGGCAAATAAAAACCATCGAGGCTGAAATGACAGTTCAAAAAATATTTCATTATTTCGAAAAGACAGCACGTAGAAGTTTCCATTTCCCACTACAGCAGCAAGTCCAGAACTTTCCAGTGCTGAGGCAGTTTTGTTTCCATGATTGCCTGGAGCAATGATGATTCCCAGCCACACCTTCCCCCCCCACCATCAATCAGGACAAACACGGGTAGATTTCGATGGTGTTGATCCGGAGGACGGTCTGGGGGTTCCTAATGACTGGAAAAGAAGGAAAAGAGGAAAGAAAAAAGGATCAGGATCAGGTGACAGCGCAAAGCCAGTGCCCACGTGGTCCCAGGGCTCCCATGGGACTGGGGCAGCCTGGTCAAGGCTTTACCATCCATTCCATACAAAAACAGCCATAATTTTCCCCCCCCTCTCACAGAAGGGAGAGTCATTTGGCAACCAAAACCTGCCACAGGACCCTGTCCAGGCTCGCTGTGATGACACATCCAACGTTTTAAGGCTTTGGGAAGAGAGAACAGGATTGCTTTCCAGCCCAGGAAGTTTATTGCCAGCAGGGTCAGGGAACACAAGGTGCTGGACTGAGGGGATATTAAATCCTGGTGCTCCGTGGGCACACTGGGGGCGGTGGGCTGGGCCCTGAGGGGCTCTGGGCACAGGGAGAACAACCTTCCTCAGACCCTTGTGCCATAATACCTCCCCCTCCCACAGCCAGCAGGGAAGGAGATGTGTTCTTTCCCTCTTACTTTTCTTCCTCTGATAGTTGTGCCTCTTCCAAAAGCGCATGTGGATTTTGGGCCACGACTCCGTCTTCTCAATCACTGTGGCCTCCACACGGACCAGGTCCTTCCTTAAAAATCAGTTAAATAACAAAGTGATGCTTTTAATCTTCCCCTTCTATTGGGAAAAGAGACACGGGGATAACACATCCTGCCTGACAGAGCCAGATCCTGCCTCCACAGCCCAGATCCGTGGAAACTGGAGAGTCACCGTGGGAGGACAAAGGCAAACCCAAAAACCTCCAGGTGCTGTACCTGGCTCAGGTGATGTGACAGTTCACAGAGCAGAACTTGCCAGTCATGTGAGGGATGAGATCACTCCACCTGAGGAGGCAGGAGTGAGAGGAACCTGCAGGAACTTGTGGGATTGTAGCAAGATAAAACTCCCCTGGCACCTTCAGGTGATCTCACGTGTCCTGCTTTGCTTTTGGGACAGGTTCAACCCCACCCACAGCCCCTTCTCCTGGTCAATAAAAGAAATCCTTCCTCCTCGTCTCCTGGTCACCACACAAGTCCTTCCTGCTTCTCTAAAGCATCACAGACAGCTGGAAAAAAAAGTCTCACCTGAGGAAGTCATGGCAAACCTTCAGTGCCCTGGGATTCATCCCACTGTTTCTGGCAGGAACAACAGCCAGTGGCTGCTGGAGCAATTCCCTTCTCCTCCCACACACCTCTTGTGCCTCCCACTCCTGGTCTGTCCTGTTTGTTTACCCCAGTTTGGGAGAGCAGATGGGGACTCACTGAGGATTCCAGGTACAGCTCTGGGGGAGCTCAGGTGAGGTCCCTCAAAGGCTCAAATTATTGCTGGATCTCATCTGTGCACACAACAATTCCCAGCCAGTACACACCCTTCCTCCCTCAGCGTGGAGACCAAGGGAATACAGCCTTTTACTGCCTTCACAGGTGAGTAAAACCAGAGTAACTGGACACACACCAACACCTCCTGCCCACCCAGGGCTTTGCAGAGCTCAGAGAAGAGAAAATCCCCTCCTTCCCCCCCTAAAAAAAAAATAAAAAAAAAAAATAAAAAAGCTCTGGGCTGTCCAGCTGCTCTCTGAAAAACTCCAGATCTGGAAAACAAGGTGGTGGAGGCAGGACCAGCTCCCTGTCTGCACAGCTCCTCCTCTCTGGGTAGGTGAGAATCTCCAAAAAAGAGCCAGACTGGAGCTCTGGCCAGGGGGGGTGGGTTTAGTCAGAGCCGCAGGGGAGGAGGAGCAGCCACCCTTCCGTGCACAGCACTGCAGAATGCCATTAAAAGCTCGTTAACTTTGCCACAGGAAGACATTTAAAGACCATTTTGCTGACAAACTGCTCTGTCTGCGCTTGAGGGGGGCAGAGGGGGAAGCCCATCCAGCCTAAATTGTTCCAGCAAGGTCACTGGGAGGCCAAAGGCTTCAGACAGTCACAATCCCTCTTAAAATCCACGCCGGGGGTGTGATTAAATCAGAGATTGAATCGTGGAGGGAGGAGGAAACCGATATATCTGCAGTAAGTGACTAACCCAGAAGAAAACAGATGAAAAAGAATCTAGATTTTAAGAGAGCAGTGGGTGACCCTGACATCCCAGCTCCAGGATGTGATCCAGATTCAGCACTACTGAACCACACACGAGCCCTGAAACGCTGAGGGAGAAACCAGAGAGTAAAATGCACTCACAGCCGTGGTTTACCACTGTAATTTGGGAGCTAAACTTCCTGGATTGAAGGCCCTGGTGAGTCCTTCTCTGTTGGACACAGCACCAGGAACTGCTGGTGAGAGGCTGAAGCACAGCAGAAACCAACTTGCTGGTGAAGAGCATGTGAGCAGAAAAAAAAGTTCTGAGCCAAACAGAGCCCGAGGGGAAAAAAAAATAAAAATCTCTATCAAATGTTTTAGGTATGACTGGAATGTCCATAAAAATAAGAAGGGGGTCACACATTTCCCAGAGCCCGACACAGCTGGGCCTGCTGCCTTCAGCAGCAAAATGTTTTATGGCAAAGCACGGGGGTGGGATTTTTACAGGAGGTAAAAGAAACCCATGCCTGAAATCTCATGGATCTGAGCTGGGCTGAAAGGTGTTGTCATGAGGCAGAGAAAAAAAAAAAGATCCAGGCAGGCTACAACCCCAGGGGATCATAACTCTTGGAGGTCACAATTCCAGCTGCCAAGCTCGCTCCCTGCAGGACCGAATCCCAGCCTGGCTGGCTGTGACAGGAACAGCTCCGTGGCCTTCAGCATTTCCACTGCAAAAACGGGCAGGGAGGAGCAGAAACAGGTTCACCTAGAGGGAAAAATTCCCCATCAGCTGTGTTTTGCCCAGAAACAAGCCAGACTTTCTCATGGAAGCACCTTTCCCTCCGCTCAGGTCTAACACGGGCTGGTGCCCTTGTGCCAGGCTGGGCATCCACTGACCCGGACAAACTGGGAGCCCAAGGGATTCCAGGGATTCCAGGAGCCAGCCAGGAGCTCTCCCAGAATAGCCTCCACCACGCAGATATGGGTTGGGGCACTGCTGGTTTTTTGGGGTTTAAAGGAGTGTCATCCCGGGAGGAATCAGAGGAACAAAGCAGGGCCAGCTGTCCCAAAGGTCTGGGAGCTGAGGGGGTGAAGTGTCTCAGGCACTGCGAGCACTCACTGGGTGTTTATTTACACCCAGTGTAAATAATAAACACTGGGGTGTTTATTTACAAAAGGACAGAAAAAACCAAAACTGCCTGTGATCTCATCCAGCCTCTCCTCTCCGAAGTGTCTGTGGTTCAGGGAATTCTGTGGGAAAACTGCAGATCATGCTGCTGGTGACACCCTTCCCTTCCTCCTTTCACCTTTCCTTTCTCTCTTCTCCCTTCCCCTTTCCCTCTTCTCTTTCTCCCTCTCATTCTTCTTTCCCCTTCCCTCAGGGGAAAGAATATATGTACCAATATGTACCAATATGTACCAATAACTCCTAAATACCACCAGCCCCTGAGAGAGACTCAGCAGTGAAACCACCTGAAAACCAGGTGGTTTTTCTAGCCTGAACCTAAAAGCCACCAAGAAATAATTCCCAGTTGTCCAAGTCCCTCCTTACCTGGCTGTTCTTTGCCAGAGTTAAAGCCAAGGCCTAAATGGGTGGTTTATCCACAACCAGGGCTTCCAGGTACTCTGAGCACCTGCAATGCTCCTTATCCTGTGTGTTTTCCCACTCAAACCTCCTGTCCCAGGGAGAACAACAGGTCAGGACTTTGCTTTTGCTGAGTAATAACACCTGGTTCACATCCCCCTTCCTTTTGGGAAGGAAAACATGGAGGGACCAAGGGGTTCTGTACAGCAAGTCCTACAGCACTGGGAAGGAGACAGTGCCAAGGGATAAACTTCCCACAAGTTCTCTGGCTGCTGGATTATGTGACTGAGAGGAAGGGAAAATTAGGAACACTAAAATCAAGACTAAGGCCTGCTGGGGCAAGGCAAGGGCAAAAGGAAACAGGTTAAAAACCCAATTCGGATTAAGGGACGGAAAAGGCTTTCTGGGGTATTTTCAAGATGACTGCCACCAAAATTAGAGTAAGGGAGTGAACAGGTTGAAGAGCAAGATTTCCTGGTAGTTTGTGCAAGGAGAAAAAGATCCAACTGAGGTGAATACCCTACAGTTACCTCAGGAGTGGGACTTGCTGCTCTCTGGGCACTGGGGAGGGAGAGAGTCAGCAGAGGCTGGTGAGCTGTTTTATTGGTGACTCTTTCAAATGGGCTGGGAAAAAGAGCTGATAAATCCCAGTTTCAGGGAGTGCAGAGCCCTGAAGCTACAATTAAATACAAAAAATGTAAGATAATTCCTTTATGAAGCATCTTACCCCAGCAGTGGCCTTCCAATGAGCGTGAAGTCGTCAGCACCAACCAGCAAAACCTGGGGAAAACAGATCGGCCATAAATCACTGCTCGTTGTCCCAAGAGAAATGCAAACAGGACCTTCCAAATCCTACAGACATAAAGGAGTCAGGCTGCTTAAAAACAGCAGGCCTTCCCACATTTCAAACCTGACACTAACTAGAGGGGTGGTGGGGAGGGAGCTGTTAACAGGCAAGAGACAAGAGTCATTAGTCTTCCAGAGAGCTCATCCCACTAAAACATGCTGCAAAGTATCTTTCTCCATGATCAGAACACACTGAACCTCTCTGTCCTGGCTCAACAGCAGCTGTAAAAAATATGGAAAGCAATCAGGGATGAAGAATAACCCGCCTCCTGTGGGATCTGGACAAATGGCAGCTCCTAAACCATTGGATTTTTATAGCAATTTTTACAGCAATTGCTACAAATCGCAGTGGAAAAACATTTGCCTAATTCTCCTCCATAAGGCCTCAAGATGGGAAATAAAGAAATGAACATCTGGAGGATTCACCACCCCAGGGACCTGCTGATTTGGGGCATTTCAGTCACTATCTCAAGGAACAGGCAGGATAAGAGAGGATACAGTGGGAAGAGGCAGCGTTTCACAGAATCATTGAGGTTGGAAGACCTTCAAGGTCATGGAGTTCAACCATCAACACAACAAAAGCCCCCCCAAAACAAGGCCCCAAAGTGCCACACTGAGAGCCATCTCTCCCAGGCTGCCTCCTTTCCCCCTCCAAATACTCTGGCAGCTGTTAAAACCTGCACAGAAACGGTCCAGAGAAGTTCTCACTCTGGTTTTAGACCAGAAATTGCCAGAAAAATCCCCAAAGGGTTCTGGTGTTAGGTAAGTTCTCACCTTCACTCCTATCCAGACCTTTGCATTCTGAGCTGGCTACACCACACACTGGCTCCCCTCTGTTTTACAGGGATGTGGGACACAGCTGAGGACATCCCTAAAAAGGTGCCTCAAAACTGGGCTTCGAAGCAGTGGACGAGCACAAAAACTTCCTTAATTACCTGCTTGGCTCTAACAACCAACATGAACATGAAGGCAGCAGATTTCCACTCCACAATATTTCCTTCCAGTTTGGATTAATGAGCCCTCTGCAAGATCCTGCTGGGTATCCAAGGCTGAGGATAAAGGTATGATTTGGATCCTGGCAATTCTCCCTCCGCCTCCACCCAGCCCAGTCAGATAAGGATCTCGCAGAGCCCTGAGGAGTGACAATCCCCCTGGGAGCCCTGCAAGGACTTAGAGGTTGGACTCTGTGATCTTACAGGTCTTTCCCAACCTAAATGATTCTGGGATCCGAGGTGCTGGAGTCTCAAGGCAAGCAGAGGCTTTCGCCGCTGTCTCTGGAAACAATAACTGTCATTTTCTTTTTTTTGGAAGAAGTTTGGACAACAAAAATCTGCCTCCCCACAGAGTCTGGCAGGACTCTGCCGAACAGAAATCACAACAATATTACCACTAACTGAAACTGGAACGAAACTAAGGGATTGGAACAGAGCAAAGAGCTGGAGCGAGGGCGGGAGATCCCACAGGGACGCGCGGGTTTAAAACCGGCGATGGGTTTTTGCCTCAAGGGGGTGCTCGCAGGGAACCTGCATCACCTTTTCCAGCCGGATCCGGTCTCCACACTCAGCCTCCAGCACGTTGTCCATCATGATCAGGTCTTCACTGGTGACCTTCCACTGCTTGCTGGCGAAGTGGACGACGGCGAAGAGCCGCCCGTACTCCCCCGCGGAGATCATCCCGTTCACCTTCTGCACCACCTCTGTTGGCAAACCACGGGCAGGGAGCAGGGCAGGACCCCCAGGAAGGTGGGAAACGCTGGTGAATACTAACCCAGCCGCTCTGCTCTCCCCCCAGAACTCTCATCTCCCGGGAATCTTTCAGCGAAGGATCAACGGCAATGTTGTTTCCCAGGCGTGCTTTCTTAAAATCTTAAAATCCCCTCTCCTAAAACCGATGCCCTATTTGTATTTTAGGTGCTGGCAAACCCACACGTGAGTAAACATCTGGTATATACACTGTGTAGCTACTCTACACTGCTGACTCTCTGCCTATTCCTCAGGTATCCCAAAATTTACTGTACTTGGATATAAAGCTCTTGTCCATGATGCCTGCATTTGGAGGATTTCCTCCAAATTCTCTCCATTTTCGAGTAATATGCAGAACAGCCCAGCCACTGACTAGTGTCTAAAGCATGCAGGAACATCGGGAAGGGCTTGGCAAAGTACCAGGGAAAAGGGCTCCAGCATATCACAAAGCCTGGCCTGGGAACTTGTACCTGCAGCGAGGACAAGAGAGAGCTGTCCCTCCCTCTTTCCCAGAAAAAAAATCTCTTCCCACATGCCCACAGAGTGGTGCCAGGAGCAGGACAGATGCCAGAGACCAGGTCCTGCACATGGATAAACATTCTCCGTGATCAGCTTCCTGGGCAGTGGCTCCAAACCCAAATTTTATGGGAACACCAAAAGGTGTTGCTCAGTGACACCATCCCACTGCCAAACAGCAGCTTCCCACCCTCCCGGGCTGCTCAGAAAAACAGGTTTTGCCTCAATGTCCTAAGAAGTGGCTGGATCTTTTCTTTTTTTGGAATGTAAACAGAACATCCCTTTGGGACAGACAGGAATCCAGCAGCCAGGCAAACCCAACCCAATCCTTACAGGAACACTCGGAAAGGGTCCAAGTTTCAAGCCAGAGGACACAAACTGTTAAAGGTAGAGGCAGGAACACGAATTATTTTTGCAGGGCAGTAGTAGCTGCTGCAGCTCCCACCAGGATAAAGAGCTGTTGATAACTCTTCCAACACCTCCAGTGCCAGGAAACATCAAGTGATTCCTGGCTTAGACCTCGGCACCACGTGGAGCGACCCTTCCTAAAATATCCACAGCCACCAGGAAATAAGAGGCAGAACTGAAATGCTCTCACTGCTGTTCCCTTTGGATAAGCCCAGCCAGGAGATAACGATGCAAAGCTCATCAGCAGCAGGAGGGATCCCATGAGAATCCATCAGGGATGGGACCATCCATGGGGATGGGACCCTGCTCCCCACAGGGCTCCAGGGACTCAAACTGAGCCACTCGTGGTTCACTCCTGGGTTATGTCACACCCAGGGACAGACTCCCATCTGTCACTTGAGCAATCCCAGGAGCACAAAGGAGGTAAAAATCAGGATCAAAAATCAGCCTGTGAGGAGACGTGGAACTCCTTTCCTTACGTCCCATCCCTGCAGGTCTGTCCTGTGCCCACCATCCAACTGCTCCTCCTGGCTGGATGTTCTGTTTTATGCAAAAATATACACCAGCTCTCCATGTGCCCACCATCCAACTGCTCCTGCTGGCTTTGATTTAGCCAATAAATGGAAAATAACTGGTTTCTCCTGTCCAAAAAAAGGCTTGCTTCGTGCCTTTTTCTGTTTGTTTGTTTGTTTTTCAGATATTGTGTGATGTTTCCTGCCACGTATCACATCAGGTAAGATTTCTCTGGGAACGCTACAAGCTACAAGCATAAACTAAAGGCAAATCATATTGTACCCAAATCTCCAAAACCAGCAGCTGGAGCACAATTCCAGTGACACTGAAACGTGTGAGAAATAAGACAAAAATGTGAATGACACAAACTAGCTCCAACAGAATTTATGCTCAATCAGGCATCAAGGCAATGCTGGAGGAATAGACTTGAGGCTTTTACCTGCATGATACTTGGCTTCTTCCACTGGATCTGGAAGTTTTGGCACTTCAGGCCACGGGGGTGAAGACAGGGAAGTTTTGGCAACAAGACTGCAAATGACAAGGTAAAATTCACTGCAGCAAACAGATACTGCCAAGAGATGTAAAACAGGGAGAGGAAAGAAGGTAAAAGGAGTAGAAATGGATTTAACTCACAAACACCTGACCAAAAGGCATCAGATTATAGTTAACAGCTAAGCAAAAATCTGTGATACCGCAAAACCAAAAACTTAGATTTCAAGAGGAGGGAGATTTGCCTTGGAAAAAGTCCCCGAGATGACCACAAGGGCCTTGTTTTCTGAAATCTGAACGTTTAGTAGATTAAGTAAATACCACAGTATTTACTAAATTTAGTGAACACCACCCCAAAGGAAAAAGTAAATACCATCCCCACCACGAGTGGGCAGCTCATGTTTTCCTGTGTGCCGAGACCCACGCTTTGTATAAACAACACAGGACGCACCAACTGCAAAAAATATTCAGGAATAAACACGAGATCTGCCAAAACTGACTCAAAATCAGTTGCATTCTACTGATTTACTCTGCAACACCCAGCAGAACATCCCAAAGGGCTTCGATTTAGCAGGAACTCGCGGTACCCGTGAGCACATGACCACAAGCACTGAGGCCTCATGGGGTTTATTAGGCAGGATTTGGGGTGCCATGCCAGAGGTGGAGATCCAAGGATCTCTGATCCATGAGGATCAGCGGGAAGATGCTGCCTCCTGCAGAGGGAACAGTAGCTCCTGCTATTCCCTGCTGCAGGAATTCTCTGCTCCTGCAGTGTCCCCTCCTGGTCGCAGCCAGCAGCACTCGGTCCATTCCAACACGGGGAACGGAATAAAGGCATAAAAACCAGCTCCCAAAGTGCTGGAAACAGCCAAGCCTGGAGCTTCCAGGTGTCCTGCAGCGCTCGGGCCCTTAATCCCACCTGACTGTGCTGCAAGTCTGGAATTCACCGGGTATCACACCCAGGGTGGTTTGGATTGGAAGGGATCTTAAAGCGCATCCAGTCCCACCCCCTCCCATGGGCTGGGACACCTTCCACTAGCCCAGGTGGCTCCAAGTCCTGTCCAACCTGGCCTTGGACACTTCCAGGGATGGGATAGAAATAAAAAAAA